ATTTGCATATATAAATTACTTAGTTTACTGTTCTGTGCAAATCCCGTATTGCAATACACCCTTATAAGCCTGTCCATCAAATACATAAATACAAAATAAGGAAATAAAGTGCTTCCTGATATGGAAAAGAAGAGGCAGCCCATGACTTATTTATGCAATGTAAATAAAGACATTGTTAATGGGAGCTGAGCATCCACCTGGCTTCATTTAGGTATCAAAATGTCAGCTGAGCTTTCCTTTACAAAAATCCCTGTCACTTAACTTCTTCCAATGAGGGTCATACACATGAAGGGGGAAGCATGCGGAGCTGGGAGTAACCAATTTCGGGAAAGCATAGAGCATTACTAATACCGTCTTGTAAAACTAACACAAAAGAAAGCAAGCTTCTCAATGAAGGGTGTATCTTCACTTCAGACTCAGGCTTGGGGAGCAGCACCTGGGTTAGCCTAGCTTCACAGTGAACAGCTGCCCTGTGAGCCATGGTGAGTTGCCATAATCTGATGGATGTTGCGCTTTCTCAGATGTGCTAGTAGGTCTTCTGAAAGTATATCTCTTGAAACATTGTTGCAGCAAGCCATGCCTCTCAATGAAAGAATGACAGCAAGTCGTGGGAGAACTTGCCTGTCTTTCTGAATGTGGCAGGAACTGTGGGAAGGCAGTACAGGGATGTCAGAACGTGAGTGTATAAGCCTGCACCCTTACTAAAAAGTGCATGGGTAACTGGATCACATAAAAGGAGAACCCTGGCCCAAACGCATGCTCATAAACTGGCTTGGGTTGAAAGCCCACTAAACACAAATGAGATGGTTTTGGGTGGAAGTGGGCAATACTCGCCTGAGCTAACTGCAGAAAAGCTGTTTTACCCCTTTTTACAATAACCCTTGAATGCAGCTTTCTCAGTTGCATTTGTCAGCCTGGGTATATGCTTGGCTGATTTTTAGAATTGCGGAGTGAGGCATTTTGGTCCAGGAAAGACAGCTACTGGAAAGTTAGACCTAGTGGAAATGCTGACATTTCTATCAACTCCTCCTTTTGCGTGATTAAGAAAAAATATTGTGGGCATTGAAATGTGTGCACCATGCTTTGGCACTTCTATTCCAAAGAAATGGGCAAAACCAACCAGTGCAAGGCTACACAAAAACATGTACCTGTATTTTGCATTTCTCAGATTAATATTTTTTGGGAGGCACATGAAATTTGCACGTGTGAAGAAAATGAGAGAGCTCTTATGTGATCAGAACAGTGATGTAATTCTTGTGCAATGCTGGATTGGGTTACACTAGAATATGTAAGCCAGGAACCTGGTTGCAACTTTAACCCTAGCTCTGATGTAAGTTTGCCTGTTCTAGATGGCAGAAGTTAGATAAAGGTCTTCTTGGGTGCACCTACGTGTCGCCCTACAGTGATGTAGTGATGTGCTATGTCACCGTACGACATGCTATGGTGACGTAGCGATCGCATAGGTCTTCATGTGATCGGCAGCTACACTGCCATAGCGGCACGCTTCCCTAGTATAGCGTGCCCCTACAGTGACAGCAGCAAAATCTAATTGTGCGTGGCACACATGGCGTAGCACGGGCAGTTACTGCACCATGCTTAAATACAAAAGGAAGTACCAAAGCACGGCGCAAGAGCAACACCACTGCAGAGTGACATGTAGATGCGCCCATTATATAGCATTTCCAGCCTACTTGCATATTACAAGGGCATTGAAACAACCACATATTTAGAAAAGGGCAGAGTACTTCATTCAAATGGCATATAAAAGACTTAAGATGTAAATAAGCATCTCATTTGCCCTGGGACTGATTGTCCCAGGGTTTCAACTGGATCAGAACAGCAGGGGCAGTCTTTTCTACACGTCACCCTTCCAAGTTGTGTTGCTGCTCCTTTACCATTCGGTGGCCAGCCAGAGCACGCAGCCCTAATAGACTTGTGCTGGAATGAATTACAAGTGCTATAGAGATGTACAACAGGATATCTCGGGGGGGAGAAAGTGTTAGTACATTTTATTTGGCATACTTTACAGGGACTTGAAGCAGGACAGTGGATGTGTAAGTCTGCACAGTCCCTGGACAAAAGGCTTTCTCCTGGGACAAATGCAACATCTAGTCACAGTCAACAAAGTAACTAATTCGGGAAAGGAAATAAAAGAAAACTACACTATGGGCACGTCTACATGTGATGCTACGTCGTCGTAGCATCCATGGGGATCTATACGTGACCAGTAGCTACTTTGCCGTAGCTATGCGCTCCTCCATTATAGCGTGCTGCTATGACGAAGTAGCTGCTAAAAACAACCATGTGATAAAAACAACACAGCACAGTACGGGCTGTGACGGCGATGTGATTTAGTACTTCTAAAAGGAAGTACTAAATCATGGTGCAGTAACAACATTGCAATAGCGACACATGCAGACACACGCACCCTATGTTCAGCAACGTATCATCGTAACTCGGGTCTCATGCTGATGCCTCTCTGACAGCATAGCTCAGCGACTTTGAGATGACTTTTCCTGCAAATAACTGATTATGAGAAACTAACTTTCACAGATGCATACTCCAAACCCTGTTAAGTCAGAGGGAAGACTCCCATTCACTTAACAGTGGGCTCAGGATCAAGTATTGATATTGTGGTACAATCCATATCTCTTTAATCTGAAGACTTTCTCCAGGCAGGCTTTTTTGAAGAAGTCAAATAGTGCTCCTTCTTATGATGTCTCTATCATTCCCTATAAGGGACAGACTTTTTTTCTGAACAAACTGCACAGAAGGTAGAGTAATTTTATCCACATGCAGAATTTCAGTAGGCAGGTTTGGGCTGTTCTGGGTGGGGTTTCTTCTTTTAGAAACAGTCAGAGTCCTGCACAGTAAAGCTTACACATTTCCTTGGGGGGCAGGGAAAGGACACCCCAAGGTCTATGCTGCAGCTCCCTCTGACTCCTATATGCCTTGAGTGCATCAAACATATTTGGAGTTGGTGACTGCAGAAACACATTAAGAAGTTCTGCAATGATGTGAACACATTACTGCACATACAGAGTATACTTAGGAATCCTTGTTTTGATTAGCTAACCTAAGCCATATGAAAAAGTCATTATCAAAATAAAACTGCGTAGGAGTGAAGACGAGAGAACAAGTTCACTGCCAAAAAGCTGCTGTTGGATGTTTCCCAGACAACTACAATGCACTTTTACTACACATTGGTTTTTGATTGGTGCCACATTGTCATTTTTTTTCTTACTGACCCTTGCCTTAGTAAAGAACCTGAAGAAAGAACCAGGTACCTGAAGAGCAGAAAACAAAGTCCCTAGAAATATATATATATTTTTTTTTTTTAAAAGGAAGAGCTATGGGTCACTGATAACAGTCACAGCTTTGTTTCTTCCTGCAGAGAAGGCTGGTATTTTGTCCAGGTATAAAATAGGCTTAGAACCAATGCCATTTCAGCTGGAAGTAGGAAGGTACTTTTTTTATTTGTTCTTTTGGAAAATTGTCACAAAGTGTTGTGTGAAATACTGAATGCAAGAAATGTGTCGGGCCTGTGTGTAGCAGTGGGTTGCTTATTTTAGATGGCCGAGCCAGAAAAGTTGGATTCAGAGATCAGTGAGATGGAGCAATTACCTGCTAAATCACTGCACTGACAAGAGTCATTAAATCCTATATCAGCACCTGGACTCCTGTATGAAGAAATAGCTTCAGATTATTTTTAGGGTGTGTGTTGCCCACATCACCAAAGCTACTAATCTGGTGTCATAGTTAACTGACACTTAGCCTCAATGAGTTGAATCTCTGTTTAAATCTGGTTCACTACCACTGCCTGGAGAACACCTCTGACAGGATCAGCTTTTGTGATTGATTTAAGTTCCAGTTAATTTTGAACAGGGACAGGTGGGAAGTCAGAAAGGTTTCTTATCTGGATTATTTAGCTGTTGGCAGATATCAAATGTCTGTCGCCAGATGAAATATACTGGGTTCAAATTCATATCCAAATGTGGAGCTGCCACCATTTGAGAAAACCTCCAGGATGTAACTGGACCACTTTCTGGGTATGCCCCCAAGACTGTGCAATGTCTGATTAAAACAAAGCCAAGCTCAGCAGTGTTGATTATTTCTGTCTGAACCGGTGCCAAAATTAAGCTGTTTTGATGTTTGCTTTAACTTTGTAGGTCAGCCCCAAAACAGGGTGAAAAATGGCTACAGCAGGACTGGCAGTTATCAGTACTGCATTCGGTTGTTATAAAAGTGCTACTTCAAGGTGGCATAAAACTTTGAAAATTTGGAATAACATTCCACATTAAAAAAAAAAAGCATTACAATTTCTGAAAGGAATGTTTAGGGTGTTTTTGCTAACAGAGTAGCTAGGGAAATGGTAGAGGCTTCAATTCCCTGAATGGCTGAATGCCATGGTCCAGATTCTCTGCTGTCCTGCAGTTAGTTTATATCAAAGTGAATGCAGAAAGCTATCAAATTGTCAAGATGGTGTTGTAAATTCACCTCTGCACCATGGAAAATTAACAAGGTGCAGGGCACTGGAGACTCTAAGCCCAGGTCATCAAACCTAGAAACCCAGAGACTCAAGTGGCTCTAAATATTTAGTACGTTATTTATTTAGCATAATTGTCAGTGCCACCTTTGTGTCTCTGGTTTGCATTATTATTCCCTAAATAAATTATTTCATGATATTTACCTTTAGAGTTTGTAGGTTCCTTATCCTATTGCCTCCTAGGAATTGTAGAAAAGCAAGGTTTGTTTTCTACACACAAACCGTAAGTGTTAATTCTGAGAAGACAATGGCATCATGGAGAAGCTTGGCATTTTCTTGGGTTGTTTTATAGTGGGGCTTCTTCTGCTCCTCCTGCTAAAACTTGTATAGTGGAAATGAAGATCTGATTCCTTATATGCAATGTGCAGAAAACCCTTATTTCCTCCCTGCAAGGAGAAACTCCCTAATGTAAAAGTCAAAGTTGGCCATTGGTTCTTGAGTGGAAAAGAAATGGCTAAAGTCCATTCTGTCTACTGTAGTTGAAGTCGGAGTCCTCGATCTGAGTTTCTGTAATGTTTGAGATTTTGGAGTGTGTCCTTCCTATCTCTTCCAGAGCACAGGCTAGGGAGTCAAGGTCACCATCATGCTGATGTCGGGCTTCCCAGAGGTCCAAAATGACAGCAGATGGACTACTTTGTGTAGCAAAGTAAGAGAGATTCCTGAAAGGGAGGAAAGGTAAAACAAAAGAATTAGAAAGGTCCTTTCCATGATGATTACCATGAATGTGAAGCTGACCTTCTGTCCATCATCCCTGCTGCTACAGATGCATTTCAGACAAGAAAGCAGACTTCACGGACATTAAAGTAGCCAGCCAGCTGCTCCTCAAAATGCCAATTTTCTTTTCAGTGTAACTTCATTTCTCTAAAACCTTCAGGAAAAACAGGACTTGGATAAATGGAAGTGGTATTGCATGGAAGCGTATGGTTGAGACTAACCTTCAGGTGACACTGGGGTTCATTTTTAAAGAGGCAGGATGAACAAGCATTTGTGGACAGTAATTTAAATAAGACCTTGTCACAGCCACTCATATAATTTAAGCATCAAATTAACATGATGAAGTGGTATAGGTGAAACTTAAATATATATCTGCGTATGCATGTTAGATGAGAGAAAATTGACTTCTAACTGGTACCTGTGGTGTTGAACTACAAGTATCATATATTTTTACATCTTTTTTCACTTACACATTTTGATTTGGTTAAAAAATGCATATATCTGGTTTATGGAATTTTGCAGAATATTATTTGCAAGAGACCTGGTAGAACAACCTGGTTAATAAATTCATGTTATCTTTTCCGTTTGCCACAATGCCTGTTTGATGCAACTACTTGTATATTTGCTTGTATATAATGATACAAATAAATCTATTGCATGCATACACATATGCATAAACTTTGTGTAATATGCACTATATATACATATATATGTGAATGTGGGAAAGAAAGTGATTGAATTGCCGAACAGCAAAGAGATGTTAGAAACAGTTAATGCTGTTTACTGACACTGAAATGTCTAAATTATAACTGCAACACTTATTCCAAGTACTCCTGGAACATTAGGTTAGGCAGTAGCTTTAGATACCTTTGACATTGGTTTCTTTGTAATGCAGCATCCATTCATCTGATGAAGCCATCCTGCATCTCCCTTAAATTAAAAGGCTTTAGAGCCTTGTTAATTTTAGGCAGCACTGTGGTACTCGTACCCCCTGGATTGTCTACACATTATCACCTGAAACTAGTGATAAGTACCCTTTAGGCAGGTGAAAGTTATGCCACTCCAGGGCAGGTTTATTTCTGATCCATGTTCCATTAATGTGTGGCCACTCCCCACAAATGAGCCACCCAAGTTTTAGTCCTCCAGGTGTGGGACAGTCAGACAAGGGTTTTAGCCTTAAGATGCAACTGCTACAAACTCAAGCTACCAATAGCGTCAACCAACATTTGAGCAACTCAAAGTGCAATGTGCAATAAGCCCCTTACGTTCTAGTTGCTATATATTTTTGGTGCCATGAAGTCCTTCCTCTGCCATTGCAGACCAAAATGAAGTTTTGCCAGCTGACAAGACCCTTTTAGGTAATTATCAACAGACCTATTTCACATAATTCCTGCCCAAGGTTACTAGTAAGCCTTGCGCTCAGACCAATATTTACTGGTGAAAGCCCAGTAGAAAAAAATCTAACCCCAAACCAAATCAACACACATCAGGTCACTTTGCACAAGTTAACCCACACATACTAGAAAAGTCTCTGTGTCATCAAGGGCAGGGTTTACCCTGAGACTGCGATTTCAAGATAAGTGCCCTCAAGTTGCATGTGGTGTTGCACTGTAAATCAGCAAAACATGTCTGCACTCTTTTTCTTTCAGGGTTGCTTTTGTTTTGATCTAGAGGCTTTTAAGGCAGCTTACCAGCATATTGAATTCATAGCGGTTATTCCTGAGCAATGTGCCCTCAAGTCACAGCTAAAGCAAACTTGAAAAAAAATGTTTGATACCAAACACCTTGCTGCTACTCCTGGGTTATTAAAATAGGCATATACCTACTTCTTTTCACAGGCTCGGCTATTTTTTGTACCGTGTTTGGCACCTTTAGGTGGCAGAAAGTTAGATGCAAATAGTGAATCATGTACATATATTGCATTCTAATACAGACAGCCTCGGCAGTGAAATAGAATTTAAGCCCTGAATTGCTTTAGTGCATTGCAAAGTGCAGATTCACAGGATGAACTGCCTGGCTCTCTGTTTTGGATAGACAAAGTAGTACCTTGCTCGATGAGGAGTTTCCTATTGGCTACATGGGTAACACATGACAGTCGGAATCTGAATGTCTTCTAAAAACTTTTATATTATTAAAATAGTTTTGTGGAAAATAAAGCAATGGTGGTACACGATAATGGCGTGTATGTAATGTCCTATCTTGCCTCTTCTACAGTTGTCTCCCACCCCTGCAGTTTGTACTTCACCTAGATAGGTTGCAGGCGTATCCATATTAGTCGGAGTTTATATCTTTGTGAGCGTTAAGGAATGTGGTTGTGTTTCACAGGCTATGTAAGACAAGGTCTTCTGTAAAATTTCACAGAAATTTTTCAGCTGCTTAATTATTAGGATTGGGATTAGAATACATTTTGCTCACTGCGTTGCAAAACTTTCCATGATGTTATCTTCACAAGGGTAGTTTTGCAAATGTGATCAGAAAGTAGTGTCCAATTGACCCATGCCTTCATGTTTGTTGATATACTAGTCTGGTATTGGTATTATGGTTTGGAATATTTGCTACAGCTTATGTGAACACTAGTTTCTATCTGGCAACCATGCTGACAGCAGTCTCTCTTCTGTCTTCTCATTGTTTGATTTTTATTATGGATGTAAAAAAGAAAAAGGAAGGAAGAAAGAAAGAATGGGGTAAAGCCAAGTGGTAAGCCACCTGTATTTATTTGTTCCAGAAATATATCTCCTGCTTGGGATCATTTATAGACAGCAGGATGTAAGCTATTCCAAACATACAGTGCCCAATTCCAATTTGCCTCTGGTATCTTTTACACTTTATCCCATTCATAATAAAATGTATCCAGAGTGCTTGGAAAGACACATGCCACCTCTCTGTAAAGCAGCATTATTTATTCCAAGCTGAGATCTCACCTTCTGTTCAAACTGGAAGCAGTGTGAATGCCCATTCTTTGAACATAAGGTGGCTGAGTAATGTTAATAGGCAGCTAGTTGTGCACGAGATGTAAACTCCTACAATTTTTTTTTTAAATCAACAACCACTCCTTACTTGATTTTACCTTGGTTGGTAGAAAAAGAATTGTTTTTACACATCTTGTCTATTCCTTCCATGAGGCATCTTGGGGTATCTGCCACCTATAGCAGGTCTTACTTGTTCCCCACAGTGTAGTCCCCTGCACCTAAAAATGCAATATTTTTAAATACCTCCATAGTATAATTCCCATCTCAACTCACAGAAGACTATCCTACCTTTATGAAAACAGGTAAAAGAATATACTCTTGGAGCTTTTCTTATATATTTCTGCACTTAAAAACAAGTCAAATTGTCTATAATAAATAAGGTAACCTCATTACAAAAACGGTGCCTCCTGGAAGAGTACAGTAGTACCAAGTGGGGAACTGACCCACTTTCATTAAAAATATTAATATTTTCCTATCATCATAATTGTCACATTTAATGAGAGTCACTTATGTGACCTAAATCAACCCTCCATACAGTTCTTTAAATGCGAAGTAAAGGTGAGACTCCAGTCATACCAACAGCAAGTAACTGGCAAGACAAAAATGCACTTAACTTGCTTTATTTGTCAGATTTTCATCCAAAAGCCGGTGTGTCAGTGGAATCCAAAGTACTACAAGGCAGCCTCAGGTAAAACAAACACACGCTCATTTCACTTCTAAAGAAAATTCTGCAACAAGCTGGCTTAGTTTAACATAAATCCTACTGGTATAGCACGGGCTTTGGTAAATACTGTTCTGCAGTGCCTAAGAACCTAATGAATCCTAGTTTATGATGAGCCCTTCTTCCTTCTCTAAGTGCACGACGGTTCAGTTTTATCAGGTTTTGCAAGTTGATAGTGCCTTTGTCAAAGTAATATCGTTCAGAGCTAAACCTGAAGGGAATGTTAAGAGGCAACTTATCCTTGTCTTCATCCCTAAATAAATAACTGGGAGAAAATATAAGGATAGCACAAGCTACAGTCCATGTTGTGGCTGTATCTGCCTTCTTAGAGAAAGGTTAGCATTTTGAAAACCAAAGAAATTAGTGTATTAGTACTTGAAAGGTTTTTATCTTTATTTTATTGACTTGGTTGATCCTGAAATTCCTATTTACATTTTAACTCTTCTACAAACAGCATCCCTACCACCACTCATGAATTAAGCAACATGGTTTCATAGCCATTGTTTTATTTCAATAAACGACAGAAATAACAAATCATTTTGTTAGCTCTCAGTGGGCTAAGCTCGTATTTGCCATATCCCCTATTCAAGAGAGGAGAACTAAAGTGCTGGTCAGAGTGGTCACTAGCGCACTGTCTCTGTGTATTGTCTAAAGCAAATGAAGGCATGCCCACTCTTCCCATTCATCCTTTCTTCCCAAATAGAGGGACTCTTTCTTAAGAGGCTGGCATTTAGTAAAAAAACCTGTGTTCCATAACAAAGGAAACATGAGAAACAACCAATTCCACAGCAAGGTAGAAGCACTGCACTTTACCTGCAAGCAACCTCTCAGTGGAAAGGTCTAGGGAGGCATTTTCAAAGCAGGGGCTGCTTAAATGCAAACAGGTGCTGAAATGCAAGTGTTGTTGTAAATGGGGAGATGAAAGCTCATCTGGAATGCAAGCCTAAACCAGATGCAGGGATGAGACATTAGCACAGGGGCACAAAGGGGATTACCCTCAGCATCCCCATACAGAGTTGAGGCTTTGTCCTCTGCCTGCTGGTTCCATACTCAGGGTTGTTCAGAAGGGGGATTGTGAGGCAGTTTCCATCTAAGATTTTGTTCATGTTAAAAACAAATTCTGCCAAGACCTTGCAAATGTCTCCACAAATGAATTGCCTCGGTGTTGGATGTTACACAGTTATTACCTCTCCCCGACCACAAA